CTATGTCATAGCTGTCCAATGCATAGAGAAGTGTCCAGGACGTTTTTCAGGAAGGCTGGAAGCAGGACAGTGGGGTTAGAAGCTTATGATTACTTTACCATAGGACTTGCTTTCCTGTGAATCCTTTGCCCTGTAGTGCAAAGTGGGTTAAAAGTAGTCCTGGACCATGTTACATTCTGTAGTGAGGGAATTGTTGCCTAAAAATAGAAGGGATTTGAAGCAAGCTTTAGTCCAGGGTGGGAAGAATAAGGCTCCTATTGGAAACAGACTTAAGGCATCATTAATGGCTGAGACTGTGTCCAAAATTTGAACTTCTGTAAACAATGACTTTCCATATAGCAAAATAATATGTAATTCTATATTTCAATATTAATATGTATATGAATATATTTAGTGATGTTTTACAATTAGACCTGCAGTAACCTTCCATCTCAGGTTTAAACTGGTGTTGGAAGGGAGGCAGCAAGATCTAAACTGCACTGGGATTATTCCTGAGAATCTCCTTAGAGATAAGAGACAGTCTGAAGTTGAACTATCTTTAGTGAGAGCTTTCCTTGAGTGAGGAGTTTATAGGCAACAGGAGGTAAACGTGGTAAGCAGTTACTGAAGTATGGTCATGGTTTAATAGGACTTACATGAAATACCATGAAGGAGAAAGTAGCCTTGCTCTGTCTGTTGCAGTCAGCCATTCTTTTCATGCCCAGAAATTCAGGGGCTTGCTGCTGAGCTTGCATACAATCCTAACATGATGATCCCTGAAAATTATGGTTATTTTTGCTCCCACTGTCTTTCCTGGGAATTCTTTGCTTTGTCTGCTTATTAAGCAGCACTATGTCATATGCTAAGAAAAAACAGAGTAACAACCAACAAGCAACCAGAAAACAAAAGAGACAAACACACCAAAAACCTCAACCATACCAAACTAAACAAGATTTACAGTAGCTGGTTCAAATCTTGGGGCAAACATTATTAAATTAAGAAAAAATTATGTAGTTGGATGCAGCCATGGTAAGAATTTGGATGAGCCACCTTACAGACCGCAGTTAGCTTTGTCTTTTCTGCACTGCTCGACAATGCTATTAGCAGTGGTTCTGCTATGGAACGTGCAGCCAGTGTGTGGCAAACTGTGTTTTCACAGTCTCCACTAGGTAATCGTAAATTAAGCTGTTGATGATGTCTGAACAATGAAGCTTTCTTTGGTGGTTTTTTCATATCAGCTTATATTAATGAACTTCTTTCATACCTCTGGCATTCAGGGAATGAAATTAAACTTCAACATTCAGGGAATGCCAGCTTACAGGAAATTGGCTCACCAAACCTAGATATAACAAATGTCTGCTTCAATTTCCCAGATAATTAAATGCCAAGAAAAGAAAACAAACCACTTTAACTAAGAAAGAACACCTATCTACTTTTGTTAAAGTTGTATGACATATAGGCAGAAGCTCTTGAAGTGCAATTATGAAGCACTGACTGTAGGATTAGGCATTGGTCTAAATGAATGAAGATGAATTTCACTCACTTCACTATGTTTAAATGAGTGCCCAGATGAACCCTCATCTTTTCAGCAGCCTTCATTCCCAATGGTTTACGTGTTCAGGCCATTCCTTAATTCCTTGTAAACCCACCTGTGGGTTTGCAGACATTCTTCCACAATGCAGAAACTACCACAAGCTTCTTGTCATGTGCCCGAGTTTAACACCCACGTACTGCTGCTGCCAACCAGCACCCAGAGGCAGAGAGCTGGGAATCACAGAACCAGAATGATTCTGGTTCTGCGATCAGGTTGGAAGGAACTTTAAAGACCATTCAGTTCCTGCCATAGGCAGGGACACCTCCCGCTAGCTCAAGTTGCTCAATGCCACATCCAACCTGGCCTTCACCACGAGGAGAGCAGGATGCCATTCTCTGTGACACCATGGAACACAGAGCATTCAGTAGATAAGCATCAACAGGATTATTATCCATTGCCTGACTCTGAGCTCTGGAGGGTTTCAGGCACATGACTGGGGAGGGATTCATCAGGCTACCCCTTCAAACCCCAAAGCTAGCATCCTTTGAGGCAGCTACACCTGCTCCTGTTAACCTCACACACTCAGAGTCAGACTGATAGAAGTTATTGTTTCACTGGAAAATGAACACCGTTGTTGGGGGTGAGGTAAGAGCTTGTCTGGCAGTGGAACATGTGGTGAAGCAGGGTGAGTCTGCCTGCATCCTGCTGCTGGTTGGGCCTCAGCACAGACTGACCTGTGCTGTTTGCTGCCTGAGAGACTGAAGCAGGGCTTGTGGAGTCTTTCTTGGCCATGAGAGAGCATATGTCTTATGCCACAGCAACCTCAACTACCATTTATTTTCTTGCATTTCAGTGAATATACGTTGCTAGCTGAATTTCTGCCTAAATATTTTTTATCTATACTATGCAGCAAAATCCCTACAGCCTTTATAATAAAAGAAACCATATCAGTTTTATAACTGTGTATTGGCCATGCATAACAACATAAGTGGCAATTTTCATGTAAGTCATGGCCAAGACTGATGAGCACCTTTATATTCATCCTGTTCCAGGCAAAAGCATGTCCATTGCATTGCTGCCTGTAGCTGCAGCTTTCATTCCCAAGGTAACCGAGTTTTTCCTCATGGTCCCTGCGCAATGGAAGAGCTGTCATTCAGGAAATTACAGCATAAATAATGTGAAAATTCAAGATTGAAAACCTGCTCCTTAAACCAGAGGCCACAATGTCCTATCTCCTGCACTGTTTCAATATCAGTGATACTGAGGTCCTCAACAAGGTCAGGACACCTTTTTCCTGTTTCTGTGCCCCAAACTTTAATTGCTGAGCAGGGCTTATGTGGCATGGCATACCCCTTTCATCACTCTGTCTCAGCCATCCTGGTTTTTCCACCTGCCAACTTCTTGGGCACCTGCAACCTACTCACTGAGGGGGAAGAGTGGAGAAAAAGAGAAAACCTGGATGTTCAGTAAACACTACTCAGCAATAGCCAAAACACTGGTGTGTTATCAGCACTGTTTTAGTTATAAAAATCTGAAACACAGCACCATATGGGCTGCCACAAAGAAAATTAACTCCATCCCAGCCAGACTCAGTACAGAAGTAAAAAGAGAAACTACATTTAAAAAAAAAAAGCACTGTATAGTGTCTAGGTGGGGGTCATCTTTTTGTTCTGAGGTTGTAGATGATCTCATGTAGCGGGATCCTGATTTCTGTGTTGGGTTGTTACAAATAAAATGTTGTTACATTCACACAGATGAGTTTTCCATCATGATGTTGACCTCAGAATTCCTCTTTGCTTCACTTGCCATTGAACATCACTTTGTAAAAGAGAATCAGAAGAGGATTCAGAGATGCAATGAAAGCCAATGCTGTGTTTCTTTATGAGAGGGAAGCAGTGTGGGGTGAAAATCAGCAGCAGCCTGGAATATCCATCTGGCCATGCTGGGCAGATAGGAGGCTGTCAGGATTCTTCAGCCACAATAGTTTTACCATTTGTATTTCCAACAGAGAGATCAACAGCATGCCTTTGAGCAGACAGAGCAAAGGTGCAAGAGAAAGCTGCACATGTGAGGGAGCCCACCTGTCACCTTCTCTTCTGCAGGACATCAAGAATTTTACTTTATTGCATGAGACCTGGAAAAAAGCTCATCATGTGAAAAGCCATGAATCAACACAAGTGAAGTCTGAAGGGAGTCCAGATGGTTGGGACCAAGAAATATAAGAAAGACAGTAAAGTTGCATGAAGTCTGTTGCTGTTTAAAAGACATAACAATTTGGGGATTTTTGTTACACAAATTGTGTTATTGTTGTCACACTATGTGGTGCCTCATCCTCCTGCTGCTGTTAGTAACTGAGAGGAAGTAGTTTCAAATGTTATCTCCATGGCAGGCAACAACTTAGCTAGCTACATGTGGTTTATTTCCAGAGGCAGCACTAGTCTTGGACATGAAGAGCATTTGTCTGCAATTCCTTTGGTGCTGTCTGCCTCACACAGAGGATTTGAATATGTCATTATCGGTAATGAACGTGAGGTCTGTACATTGCTCTCTCATTAAGATGCAGGGACACTGCACAGTAACTGTACTGTAACACTCTTCTCTTTGCAGTAAAACCACAAAAATCCATATCTAGAAACAATATGGGTAAAACTAAAGAGAAGTTGAAATGAGATGAGCCACTACAGGATACGTGTAGATCTCTGTAGATTACAGTGTAAGCCCATCCTCCTTTTCTCCCTATTTCTCTGTGACTTGCACTCTTATGTTCCCCATGGCCTGGCTCCTTATCGTGAAAACAGCTCTGGCCCTGGATAGGAAAGTGGGGCAAGGTCATAACCACTGAAGTATTTTGTCTTGTAGAATGCATCTCTTTTAGGATGGAGCTGCTGTAAGTGGTGACAGAAAATTTTGAGACAGGAAAATCAAAAGACAAAGAGTGCTGAGATAGAGGGATGACATGCAGACTCACAGCTGTCTGCTGACCTAAGACAGGCTGGTGGACTCAGTGGTTGGCTGATTCTGTGGTGTGCAGATATAGCCAATCTATAGGCTGATGTAATTTACAGCAGGTGTTAAAGAATGCAGCATTAAAAATAACATAAATCTTTATAATTAATGGTTCCATGAAATGGTGTGTATTAATTGCAATCAACTGAGCAACTGCAGTTGCCTCTTTCATTCTGCATGTGGTTTGACTGTAAAGATATACCAGGCCTTATCTACATAAACAAAAGGTGAGGACTTTAGGAATCTTGCTTACATTTCTTAAGACTTTATTAATTTGTTGGTCATCTGCGTGAAAGGGTAAAGTCAGATAATCTTCCCTTATAAAGGTGAGATGTCAAAGGAGGTTTTTAGTCCTGAGATATTTGCCTGTTCCTTTACTGTCTTTCTGGATACAGTACACATTGGAGCACCCTTGGAGACATGCCTGTAAGGACCTGGCCAGTTTGCTTTGCCTTCATCGCTCAATCCAATCCCTGTTGGATTACATGTGTGTTTCCTGGGAGTGGGGTCCCCCATTTTCCTTCTTTGTAGCAGCAGGTGTCCCAGGGGAGCTCTTAGCCTCGAGGTACTCCACTGCTCCGTAGGTCAGCATGGACAGCACAAGCACAGACAGTACAATGGAGGCTTTGATGTAGACTTGCAGTTTGGTGCTGTAAGCAAAGGCGATGACAAATCCAACTGATTCCCAGAGACGGTAATTTGCAAAGGCAGCCTCCTTGTTTTTCTCAAATAAAATGCCATAAAGTGCTGGAAGGAAGGAAGAAAGGAAGGAAAAACATGTCTTGTGAAGATTAAATCTGCAACCACGTATTTTCTGCAAAGGGAATAAATAGAGCACAATGGGGAAGACAGACACTCCCTCATAAATGTCAGAGAAAGGAAAATACAAGCCTTGTCTTAAAAAATTTGTTGTGCTTCTGTGAATTGTAACAAATGAACTAGCAAAATAAGCACAACAAAATAAGCACAACAAAATAGAGAACATGGAAGAAAAGGGGAACAGAAATGCGAATAAGGAAGAAAGAAAGTGACCTAATGAAGAAGATAGCATGACTTCTTTTTTCAAATTATTAGCCACAAAAATCAAGGGTTTTGCACTGATGAACAAGTAAGTAGGGAGAAAAAGGAGGCGTTGACATTGTAGAGTCTCTGTGTATAACTATTGATAAGCTCATACCAAATCCGTACAAGCTTTCACAACATGGGCCCAGATTAAGTAGGCAGGTAAGACGTCTCTCTTAATCAACCAGTTTTTCAAATTTTCATGTCATGGATAGGTTAGCAAGTAGAATATCCTTGATACATACAGAACTTCCATGCAGCAACTGGAAAACTTACTTGACATTGAGACTCAGTTCAACTGATCATCCTAATAAGGTTGGGAAGGTTCCAATGAGCTCAGTCAGTTGCACACCCACCACTGGGATCCAGGGAGGGATTCCAGCCTCCAAGTCTGACTAGTGAAGCACACAGGGAAGGGCAGAGAGCTTGCTTTCCTCTGGGTGCTGAGCTAGCACCAGCGGTGACAAAGAACAGGACATTTACTCTCACTCAGATATGGTGTGTGCAGAGGGAAGGAGAAGAATATAATGAACTTTGACTCTTTTCACCCACTTGTCTAAGAACATATCTGTTTGAAATATGTCCATTCAGCCAAAAGGCAAAGAGGAATGCAAAGTTCTCTGAAAAATCTGAGTAGATTTAGCTACCCCTTCAGTAGAGAGACTTAATCTGTATGAAAAGCTTATGTGTCCTGATGACTGCAAGAGGACATTTTCTGAATTGTTTCAATTTAGGCCCAATGGAAAATCTGGACAAGTGCATCACAAGAGGTACTTAGTTCATTAAACTGGCTCAGTGGAGTGTAAATATGATAATCCTTCATAGTTTTGCCTAATAAATGAAAAAGTACAAATTGTTCATACTAATTTCCTGATATGCACAGTGTTATCTTCTAGAAAGGTATTAGGAAAGTTTCTAACACCATGGCAGTTCTATGTTGAAAGGTTCTCTGGTTTTCAGCTGGTGCATGTTTGCTATTTTGAAGCAAATTGCCTGGATGAGCTTCAGCAGGACCTGCTGGGCTGAGTGAGTGAAGAGGCTGCTAGTTCTGAAATTTCACAGTCCACTTCCATGGAAATTGTCCTGGTTTTTTTCCACTGCCTTTTTTCCCACTCATTCCCCTGGTACTAGTAGGCATGGATATATAACAGGACTGCTAGAAATTATTCGAGTCCGGGTTTATAAACTCTTTAGACTAATATTCTTTCTAAAGACACAAATCATCCTGGAAAGAACTTGGTTTTACTGCAGTCCACCTGATAGTTCCATGTTACACAATTGTTATGCCCCAGGTACAATTTTTGTCAGTGGGCAGTATCGGCATCTGTGCTCAAGTTAGATAAGAAAGAGCACTACATGCTCTGAAACGAGGTACCTTTCATTGGAAATAAGTGAGAGCCTCCACAGACAAACACAAACATGTCAGGAAAACTTTCTAAGATGAAGTGACTCATCCACTGTGGGCCTACATATCCTCTAGGGGGTACTCGAGTATTAACTATCCACAGGAGCACAAAGCAAACCAAAGAATGCCTTAACTATGTGGCACTGTGCCATTTGTGTATTCACTGGTTCATCTGCTGGCCCCCATGCAGCATTCATGGGAGCTCAGCAAAGGAAGGACCACAGACCTTGTAAACCAATGTTATTTTGGAGATCTTATCTCATCTTATAGCCTTTGATGCTGGGAATTTCTCATGAGATGCATATCTGTATAAAACCTTTGAAGGGGAGAAGACATTTAGTCCTATATGGATATGTCAAACTGAAGATCCTATTCTAGGATGCAGCATTTTGGGGCAATGTCAATGCACCTCTTTATTCATCTCTTTCATATCATCACTTGATGTTTCACTGTGACAATGTGACAAAGTGAACTTTGTGTAATTTTATAAATGGGAGCTGTGAAACAGCTGAGTAAGGTACAGACCAAAAACAAAACAAAAAAACAAACACTATGCAAGGAAAAAGAACATTTGTGTGTTTTCCAAATGTGAAAATTTTCACACAAATGTGAAATTTTCACAAGTATCTTGCAGGAATCTGGGAATGGAGATGACCTTAGACAGTGCTGTAAATAGAGACTAATCCAGTCACATAGCTGCAGAACTCACTCACCATCAAGTAACCATGAAGCATTGTCCACTCTCTTTGCCTCATCTTGGGGTTTGGATTCTACAGTCACTTCTCAGTCACCTTCTCTAGTACTCAACTCCTCTGTACTTACCCCTTTTTTCCCTAATGTGGGCCTCAGGTGCATTTTTGTCAGTCATGCAATGTATGTAAATGCTAGAAGAGAGGGTACAAAGCCCAGCTCTTTTCAGTGGTGTCCAAGAAAAGTGGGCAAGAGGAGATGGGCATAAATTGAAATACATGTGGTTTCCTCTGAACATCAGGATTCTTTTTTTTTGCTATGAGCATGACTGAGCACTGTTCCAGGTTTCCCAGAGAGGGTGCGGAGTGTTCTTCTCTGGAAAATATCAAAGGGTCCCTGGGCATGGTCCTGAGAGAGTGGCTGTGCCCAGATGGCCCTGCATGAGCAAGGGAGTTGAAGCCCAGACATCCTTTCCATCCCTAACTCCACTGTGATTCTGAAAGAAGCACAGTATCCAAGGACAAGGCTTTCTAGATAAGACAGAAGCAGGACAAAGGACAGGTGCTTTATCCCAGTGGAAGACTAAGATAAGTTCTCAAAAGTGTTAGGAAGAAACTTGCAGAGCAGTCAGAATGACCGTGGCTGAAGAAGCAGGAAATGAATGAACAGCTTTGCTTAAGAGAGAGCAAATCCTCACTGATGTTCTCCTTCCATGGCCCTAAGTATAATTAAGAGCGCTGATTTAAAATTTTTACCTAAGGCACAAGCCTCTGGTAAGGATGTGAGATGATGAGAGAGTGTCCCTTGATGTGTGTACTAGGTCTCCTCTAGGGGACATGAGCTGGAGCTGCTGGAGGGGCAGAGAAGGATGCTGGCCCTGTGCTAGAGGCAGGGACATGTGCTTGAAAGGAGGTCACTATCAGTGCCAGGCAATGGACTGCCATGCTTTCCATCTGGCTCCTCAGGAGGAACATGACACTTTATCTAGTGGGTGAAATCTTCCAAGGCCCTGAAACAACCAAAGGGATCAGAGGAAGGAAGGCCAATACACATAACCTGATGTGTGCCCAGAGGAGCACTTTCCCCCAAAGTGATTTTGTAATGATGTGATATAATTCCAGCTTAAAGTTTTGGCAATGAATTCCATACTTTGTTTTTGCATTGTGTGAGAAATACTATTCATTTTGATTTCTTTACAAGCTTCTGCCTGATAGCTTTATCTGGCGCCACTAGTCCTGCTTTTAGGAGATTTCATTAATTTCAAGTCATCTTCTCCATACAATTAATTACCTCACTGACTGCTTTCCATACTTATCTCTTGTCCAGGCTAAAGATTCCTAGCTTTTTATTCTTCCTTCAAGGAAAAGTGTCCCATGACCTTGCTGCTTTTTATTGCCTACTTATGCATAATCACACTGGATTATGAGTTTTGAAATGGAGTAAATCAGAGCTGTATGAAGTTACTTGGCTGCATAATATTGCTTTCCGTGGTTTTCTCCTACATTTTTTTTCAATATCTCCTAACAGACAATTTTCTTCTTCTTTTGTTGCTGAGCTTTGAGTTAATTTTTATCCAGAGTGCTCTCCTTTATTGCAAAAGACAGACTAAATGTATAATTCTTCTTAGTTTCTAAATTACTTTGAAATACTTATACTCCTCCAGAATATTTATTCTGAATACCCGTTACCATCTTCTGCAGTATTCTTCTCTCTTCATCTTGGAAAAATTGGTTCAATGAGTATTTTGCATTCTTACTCCCAACTTGTTCTATTTCTTCTGCTTTCCAATGAGTCAACATTTTTTTAGCTGGTCTCTGAAAGCCATTATCATTTTTATGCAGCATTGTTTCATAGATTCAAACATGCAGATTCTTATATCTTGAGAGAATGCATTTCATTGTCATCAGGACTTACCATTAGTTTGTGTTTGCCAAACAGCATCAGATACACCCCAAAGACCAGGGATCACAAAAAACACAGCAAGCTGCTTGGGATCAGGTTTCCAGAGCAGTACTGTTATTAAACAGCTTGTGTTCAGAACTGCAGCTGTTGATTTAGAAGGAAATAAAGAAGAGAAATATAGATGTAATTATAATCGGGACAGATTGTGGTAGATAGCACTTTTTTATTCTACCCCCAACGAAAGCACAAGGCAATCTTAAAATCTTTCTGGTTCATTGAGCTTTGTGCTGACTGAGCTGATATCACATGAAACACAAGACAATGCAGGCCTTTGACAGTATCTAATTCATAATTCTGAGCAGGGTCCTGAGCTGTGAGATCCTCAGTGCTGATATGGTTGTAGCCCAAAGGACAGGAACCACTGAGTAGGAGAAGCAGCTTCTGGAAGGCTTGCAGTCATGTGAGGCATGTGGGAAGGGGGGCAAACACACTTCTGCTCTCCTTGTCTTAAATGAGGTTTTCATTTAGGACCAGAGGGGACAATTAAGGATTTCTAGAGGGTGGCTTTGGGTCTTTCTTTTGAAAAGTGTTTTGTAAATGAGTCACAGATTTTTTTCCCCCACAGGTGCACATTCACAGGCTGAGTAAAATGACCACTAAACAGAATTGAGAGGTTCAGAGGTATTCAATTTCTAACACTACAGTTCTGGGGGAGATTTAACTGCTTATTGCTACTATTAGGTGTTTTTGGTTTTTGTTTTTTTGGGGTTTTTTTTTATATCTGAGTTTTATTGACTGAGACACGCACCTAGAACAGACAGAAGAATCTATGAGCTAGTGACCACAACAGAAAGTGCTTTAAATTTCTTCTTCCTTGTCCAGGTTTAAAATTTCTTGTGGACAAAATGGCTAGAATGTCTTGATGCATATTGATCTATCAGTGATGTTTCCAATAATACAAACTATTGCATAGTGGAAATAGGGTATTAGTCCACTTCCGTATGCATAATGCATACAGAGCCACAAAAGAAATATTTCTTGGTATTTTTTAATGCCTCCATTACTCATTAGAACAATGTTCTCTGGAGGGGAAGATGTTCTTAAATATGCAAATGTTTTATCAAGGCAAAATGAAAATTACTGTCCCATACACAAGCCCTTAAGTTATTAAGTTATACTAGCCTGATACATTACTTTCTTCTACTTTTCTCCTTATAGAACAAGTAGTAAAAAGGACAACAGGCCAACTTTTAAAAAGCTTCCTGAAATTTCACTGAAATTTCCAAGTTTGTAATTTCCTGAGACTCAGGTCAACAGTGACTTGCTTTCACTCCATAAGGGTGAGGAGGTTTCAGCCCAGTGGAGAAATCCTACTTATGATAGTGCAAGTCTCAACATCTGCATGGTAAGATCATTTCTCATTGGCTGCATCAGAGCTATAAAGCACCAAAGCTATAGAGCACTTTCTGCACAGATAGAGCCCTCCAAAGCAGGCTGAATGTACATCACCAGCAAAGCGATGTAAGGCAAAGACAGCAATACAGTGCTTAGCTGTGAGCTGAGCTGCCTCTCTTCTCATGAGTGAAGTTTGTGAAGTCTGCCTCTAGACTGACTTTGGTTTTAATTGATAGCTGACAGCAAGCTATCCCTTTTTACATGCAAAGGAGGGAGTAGCGGATTTGATTACATGTGGTGATCAGTCATTCAAGAAATCTCTACATACCTAATGCAAATAGAAGTTTTCTACCCGTGAACTGGGAGATCCTTCCAAAGAGCAGAGAGCAGAGGGAATTTATACCTGCAAAGCAGATCATCATATAGCCAACATACTGTATCCCCAGGGCACAGGTCACAAAACTCTGGAAGACAAGGGATAGTGGTGTCACATTTTCTTTGATAAAAATAAACAGCTAAAGTTCAGGAATCTTAGCCTGAGTGTTTGGTAAATAGCCAGCATGGATGAGATAAAAAGAGCACTGCTAGAGATTTTGCATACAAGTCTCTGCTGCATTGACATAGCTGGCCTTCAGGGGCAACTTTGCTTCCCCAGCTCCCAATCAGACTGATGCCATGCAAACAGGGGAATAACAAGCAGAACAAATCTGAGCACTGCTTGCTGTACAAATAAAACTCCTGGAAGTAGCATTAAGAATTTTCTGCCCTTCCCATGGTAGCCCAAGAGATGAAAATTGATGATTGACACTATGGTCATGACAGAGCAGCTCCCAAAAAATAAGAGGACCTCTTCTATAAGAGCATATAACCAGTGGAGGTTGCCATGGAGTGCCCCTTTCAATCTGTTCCAGCACAGCAACAAGTGCACCATTCCATCTGATTTATATGCAAGGTTTGAAAGCCTTAAGCATGAAAGAAGCAGCTCAGGAAGGTTGCCCTTTTTCTTTTGAGGCTTCCTCAACAAATGCCAGGAGAACACACCTGCTGCATGTCGAGGTTTGCTGAGAAACTGGAGGAACAGAGGTGGTTTGAATCCCTTCAGTCTGTCAGGCTCTGGACCTGCTGCTGGAGTGACTGGCGAGGGCTTTCAGCCAGCCATGCTGAGGCCTTGCCCTCTTACCGTAAAGGTTGTCAAAATAAAATATGCGGAATGTGTGCTGACTTGCATTTATACAAACTCTAGGGAAACCAGAAGAGGAAGGAAGATATGAAAGCTTTGCTGGCTTCTGGCTTTTCTCCCAGTTTGTTATTTACAACAAGGTGAAGAGTTTGAACCTGTAGCTCTCTGCTGCGGCCTCCACTGGTGAGTTAAGCTCTCTACTGCATTATTTTTTGAGGCTATTCCAAGGGACATATTTACTGCTGTTTGAAGATGTCACTCAGAGGTCATTCATGTAGAAGTGAGCAGTAATTTTGCAATCCACAAATCAACATTAAAAACATCTTCATTTGACAAATAAATATTGATCAGATGTAATAATAAGATGCAACAGCACAAAAAAATCAGACAGAAATATATTTTCATTTACATGCATACCTTTGAGAAGTCACCACTAAGAAATGCCTGTTCAAACCCACTGTACATTGTCAGAGGGATTAGAAGACACTGTCTTTTATCTTTAAGATGCCGCAAAGTTGCTAGGAACGTAGACCAAAAGGGTGTTTTTTCTTTCTCAGTCTCTGCTTGGTCAGATTTGATCTGGTCCAGAAATATAATAACCAGCAACACGGCTAGCACACCACTAGCTGCAAAAAAAAGCAAAACAAAAAGTTCATGAAAAAGTGAGGAATGCTGAAAGAATGATGGGAAGTTGCTTGCTGCTGTTACTGCTCTGACTTGGTGCTTAGCTCTCTGTGGGATATTTTGGCAGCTGCCTCAGATTCCGCTTCAGTGTAAAGGCCATTTCTGTATAAACAAGAAGGCCTGATGTACATTCACATCTTCTGCATACAGCTGTGCACTGGCAAATCCCCTGAGCTCAGCTGTGCTGGGCTGTGTGACAGCCGCCGGCCGCAGAGGGTGACGGCTCACCCTGCCAGGGCAGCCCAGGGCCACGGCCATGGGAGCAGGCCAGAAACAGCTCCCTCCCTCGGGAGCTATCACAAGGCTTTAAATCAACCAGAGAGAGGAGTACTCACTTCCAGTGCCAAGGTTTTCATGGCTAGCGGGGCTCTTCTTTCAAATACATGGAAAGAAAAATAAATGCTGCGTTGAAACCAGTATATGTTGTGCCTTTTTTTTTTTTTGGCTCAGAACCATGCTTTGAGTGTGGGATATATGCTGTTTTGAAGATGATAGTGAGCAGCTCTAGTTAACTTGAAAAGATGGAAGTTACAGCTTCAAACCTATAATTTCCAAGCAGAAGCAGGATATAAAAGAATATATGGAGTAGTTAATCAGAAAATGATCATGTATGTATCAGTCTAGATTTATTGCTTGTGTAGTGAATCAAAACAATTTTTTTCAATGGTTATCAAGAAGTCAACCATGCCTCATAATGTATGAGACAACCATAGATTCACAACTGATTGCTTCATTATGGATGCAGGGCATGATAATGTTTCCTCACTTATGCTGACTAGAATTCCATCCATGGAAAGAGCTACAGTTCAGAGTAAGATGAGAACTGGCCACCTCTTTCCATCCACTTTGCTTATTTAATGCGCTCCTATAATATGTTTATGGATATTGTCTCTACTGTGAACTTTTAATATCCAAATACATCAGCAGATTTACAATAAATTGCCTCATTTTTTTATTGCTTATTATTTTTCATCCATGTCTCCTAAAATTTCTCCAGTGTCCTGGTTCCCCACTGTGGCTGAACTGTAAATCCTTTGTGATTCAAGTCATTATTGGTTCTGCCAGAGCGTTTATTAGTACTTATGGACTGATTGCTGGACTTGAATGGATGAGAGCAGGACATCCACATTTTTAGAAAAAATATATATAACAAATACGTTAAAGGAATAAAGAGCAATTGTAGGAGATAATGGCATGGCTTTATAGGAGTTGATGACCATAAATAGAAACGTTCACAGTCCTTGAGAAAGCAAAACAGCAGAGGAGTTATCCATTATTTTCTCCCCCCAAGCTGGGCAAAACAAGCATTCAGCCACCAAATAGAGGACACATTTTAAAAATGTCTGTGAACGAAATATTTAGCCAGTTACTCTCCCTGGAGGTAAGAAAAGACATCTCTTTTATTAAGAGCTTCAAAGAAAAACGAAACCCCAGTGACGCAGGGTCAGGAGGAAGCAGGGTTGCATTCACTTTGTATGCACAAAGCCTAAGGAAGTGCTGTATATGTTAGTCATCAAATTTAAATTTAAACTTTACAGACAAACATGCCTTGAGCAGAAAGCCATCAGCTCCAGTACATTCTGGGAGGAGAGTGGGGGCATATCTTTTACACTTTCCCACCAATTAGGAATGGAGGATGGGGACAGAGGAAGTTTTCTGCAATGCCCTTTGCACTGAGACCTGGCCCTGTCTGGATCACATACACTCTGTTGGAGTGTATGGCAAATTCTATGTTTTTGTCTCAGCACACAGACTACCTCTATGTTCAGAGACAGTGAAAATATTCTGACAGAGCTAAGGTGCACCAGATACTTCCCTTTATCCAGAAAATAACTTCTTTTGAGTGGGATACTTTTCAGAACTTTCCTCACTCAGTTAATCCTTGCACATCTATTTTCTCTTTTAATGGCAGCAGCTTCCCTGTATTTCTTTTCTAGTCTTGTGCAAGGAAGGTCTATAGCAGCTGTAGTTACTAAATGGGAGATATGCCAATTTGCCTGGCTGAATCTGGGTTACCACACTGGGCTTCAGCTTTATTCCAGGTGAAAAATGTAAAGAATATCTTTCTCCTTTAGATAAAAATGATACAGCTCTGGCATAAAGCATTAGAACTATTTAGGAAGGAGTTGTTTATAGCTCTCACATATCTCATTTTCCTTTAGCAAATTAGATTGAAGGAGAAAGTCAGAATCTTCATCTGCAAAGCCATGCTAGATTCCACCAGTACTAGGCTCTCCATCAGTGATAGTGATTAAAGGTTGTGTGGATCACTCACCAGTATAGACCCCTAACAGTGTGTAGATTAAGGAGTCAGAGGGTCTTTCTGAGCCAGTGCTGTTAGTGGTATCAGTCAGGCAGTCATATGCTCCACAGCATTCCAGGCCTTCTTCTGAGATCTCCCCTAATTGAGAACCAAATGCAAGGCAGGTCAGTGAAGAGATCAGCTCAGTCCACACTCTGTGCAAGAATATGAGAATGTAAGGAATCCAGCGCTTAGTGATTGCTCCTGGTTTCAAGTCTTTCCTGATTAGAGATATTTAACTTCAGAATCCCCATTTAACACACACAAATTTTGGTTTAAGAGAAACAAAGGAGACACCAAACGCTGAATTAATGGTTCCATGAGGACAGGGACTAAAGTTAGAGCTGAAATCTGAATCCAAGCTCAATTTGCAGTATTCAAAGTTTGAGTATATATTTTTACCTCTTAATCATAATACTTCAAGAGATAGGCCTTTAAGTTTACACCAGCAAAGGACTGATGGACTTCAGTTCTTACAGCTGCCCTGCATTTTCATCTCCAGATAATTTCTGTATATGTTACAGGAACAGAAATCACCTCAAAACATTTTTTTAATATAAATTCAAATTATTATTACACAGTATTGGAGTCCTCCAAGTAGCCTGCTATTCCTGACTTTATTATTTTACTACTGCCTTTATGACTTTCTAAGAACACAGTTGAAACTAACAGTTCAGCAGGGTTTGCAGTAAGACCTTTGCTTTGTGCAGTCCTATCACTTTTGTGCAGGGCATATGTCACAGCCACAAACACACACGTACTCACACACTGTCACCAGCACACTGTGCCCACTTCCTCCAGTACTCTCTTGGTAAATAATAAAAGCTAATCCAAAGTGTAAGCCTGAATAAACTGCCTCCTGGAGGAGGATGATCCAAAGCCACACAGTAATTTTAGTGCTTTCACTGCAGAATTTGTCTCTGGTCCAAGCACAATAAAGGGCAATACAGCTGCACCTTGGCTGATTCCTTAAGGAAGAGCTGATCCATAATTATTCAATTAAGCTTATTGTGTAACTACTTTTAGTGTGTTTTTCCTCATTGCTTCCCATCAAAGTTGCTCTGATGTGAATCAGCTGTCTAACCAGCTTCATAAACAACTTCAGGTTTAACATAAAATAAAATGTAGTAATGTAAAGAAAATCATTACCTTATTATAGTCACTACTACTACAGACCTTCAGCAAAAAATAGACAAACAGACCTTCAGCAAAATTGCCATATGCAAAAGATGAGTCACATGAATGAAGGGTGGAAATGTGTAAAACAAGTTTTTTATCGGTTCCTGCATCATCTGAAGATGAAGCTGCACATGCAATTAGTCATATGCAAGCTGCAAGGCAGGGTTTGCACTATTTCTCTTGAATTGAAGCTCTAATATTGTTGAATGAGGAAGGATGACTCTTGTAATTTACACCAATTACTGTCTTTGGTTCTGGTATTACCATATGGTGTAACTTTGCCTTGCTGTGTCTGGATGCAGTGGTGCAGGCAATACATCTAGAGTAGGTACATGTCTGAATTTTATCCATTTTGATTCTTCAAATACAGGCTGTATCTTTCCTACTGCTCAGCGAAATTATACATTTGAAGTACATGAAAATATGAATGGATGCCTTTGCACAAGCCTCAGAGGAGAGAAAAAGAATTGCATGGAGACTCTTACCCCTTCACCCCAGCAAAGAAGTTCCCTCTAGATTAAAGCTGTGTCCCACTGAGAAGGCACAATAGAGAAACTTATAACTGCTCATCACTGTCATGAAGATGTGCAAAGCCTTTGGCTTTGAGAGTTGTTCACAGGAACACAGATTTTTCTGAGATTCCATGTAATAGATAAAAAAATAAGTGTCTTTTAAATTTGGAGGAACATACTCAAAAGTAAAACAAGACCAAAAAAACACCAGTATTTTATTTCTCTTGTTAAAATTATGTGTGCTGCGAAGCAGAAGAGAGTCAAATGGTTGCAGTCTGTACAGACCCCACAGCTGCACCACTGCCTCTCTCCTACAACTGAAATCAGAACAGACATTCCCTCCTGAGATATCATGTGGCTCTGGGATCAGGTCAGCAGGGCTCCACTGCACTTGAAAAGGTCTGCCAGCATTCTGCTTTAATGATGCTTCACCTACAGTTACTCAGGTTTAAAGGAAGGATGATTCTAGGTAAGTATCACACCTTGTGACAACTACTTTGCCATAAATCCAAGGATTCAAAGATTAAAACCTGATGCCATCTTCCTGACATTTAGCTTTAACCTAGTAGCTATTTCAGAACTCTTCAGAGGACATACTGCTTAACTGAGACAGGAAAGAGATAACTTCTTGCTGCTCATAGTAGCAGTATATATGGAAAATTCTCTCCATGTCTGGAGAACAATCCTGTTTTGATTTTGACATGATGTGGAATATGCAGGAGACTGCAATGATAAGACACTCCAGCATTTTGAATCTGTAAGGTGGCATCCAAATATTAATTTATCTTCATAACTACCCTTTTAAAATTGACACCAATTGCATGCATGGGAAATGAGGGCACTGCTGCTGAGTGATTTCTTCAAGCTACATTGGCATCTGCTGTCTGAGCCTGAAATACAGCAGAGGAGGCCTCCTGCCAACAGCTACTGCTATTTCTTCTTGACAGCTCTGTAGAGCACTCATTTTCAGCAAGCCCAGCAACCAGTCTGACTAATTTTGAATGCATAACAGCAAACCAACCCAATACTACAAGCAAAAAGGTTGGTTCAGTATTTTGTCTTTTGTTTTAAACCACTTTTAATAGAAGTCAGACGTGAAGGACTGTCACTGCCTGCAGCCTATCTATGCTTTGCAGTCTAGGAGTAGAATTCAAACAGAATTCAATAGAGTTCTATTTTTTAGCTATTTGTCTGAACTCTCTTTGTGGCTGATTTTTGATAGAAAATAGACATTTTCAGAGAGAAATTTACCTCATCTATTTCAGACATCTATCCTCAGATGGGCTGACTCTCATCTGAAGTGTCTGTTTCCCTTACTATGAAAGCTCAGCTGCAGAAATTTAGTCTCATCTATCTAGACCTAGTTGATGTTTACAGAAAGAAATGCCAAAATTTTAAATACATTTTACCTTGGTTGGAAGATTGGCTAAGTATCAAGGATGAGATAAGATTTCCCCAGACGCCGGAAGTCTGAAACACCAGAAAGAAGATCCCAAAGTATTGGTTGATAATGTCTTTAGCACTTTTTCCTGCTTTCTCAGCATACAAAGTGCCAGCAATAGTGAGGTAAGTGCATTTGGCAGACCAGAGTGGTGCTCCTCCTAAGCCCAGGATCATAGAGGTAGGGATAAGTGTGTACCTGCCAAAGAACACTTTATTTAGCATAGCTATTGCCATTAGCATAATAATCATTTGCCCAAAGATCCAACAGCAAAAATAGACATCAAAGAAATAGATTTATCCTTTTTATGATACCATAAATCTGTTACATGGAATCAAGAGAAGTCCAGCCTTGTGAAGTTTGGGCTGTGCAAGCATAGGCAGGTCTGGGCGGGGACCAGGCCTAGGCAAGGCTGGCTGGCTCTGTGCTCATGTGCCATAACTTCTCACAAGTTAAACTATGTTAAACTGAGAACTAAATTGCACATGAACTTCAGAAGATGGATATTGGCAACTTTCCTCTACAGAGTTGCAACCCTTGTCACTGGAGAGCAGAAGTTGGTCATCCACCTTTAGAAAGAGCTAGGCAGGCGTTAGCCTTCTCCTGTGGTCATCTCCTCCCAGAGCTACTGACTGGAAGATTGTCCTCCTTCAACCTTTTCAAAAACAACCCTAATGTTGTCAAAAGACTTTCAAATGAAACTCCTGATTTTTTTTCCCCCCAAAGGGGAATCTCTGCTACAAACATGAGTTAGAGAAGCAACATCAGGTGAGTAGAGGGATGTATTCATTCTGACTCTTTGCACATGTTTACCTCTCTGGTCCACCTAAAACTGAATCTATTTATCTCGATTTGTTCCAAGTAGCACCTTTTGCATCCAACTTTCTACTCTGCAACACAGAGTTAGAGCAGGAATGGAGAAGAAAAAGAAGAAAGAACTTTGCCCTTACTTATTTTGTTTGAACACAACAGAGAGGGTCAAAGTATTTAAATCCTACCAGCTAGCATAGAAGTTCCCTAAGGAGTAGGCGACATAGCAGCACATAGAGACTGCGATGGTCCACTTGCAGCCCAGCTTCTTGATGATGATGGGAGGCAGGAACATGGACGATAAGGTGAGTGCAGCATACAGAACACTTAGGGAAGCAACACCCAGGCCTTCTTCCGCATTGAGACTGCTCTGCAGGGACAATGATTGAGACAAATTTTACCACAGGTACATATTACTAGAGAGTGTACAGAGAATGGCTTTGGGCAGAAATAAACAGACATAGCATCTGGGGCTGGGTATTGCTGTCTCATTTCCCCAAAACAGACTGATTATGGACTTGGAAATTTCTTCAAAATGTTAGACCATTTATGAAAACATTATGCAAAACTAGGTGCGGATTGCCCAGATTCAAAACTTTGATAAGTCGTTCTTTAGATTATTTCATGTTATTTGTTAGAGTTTCTCTTTGAAAGCAAGTTGAATGAAGGATAACCTCTTTTCTTGGCCCTCGTTTGTTGTCTCAAGCAGGAATATTCTCAGATCTGCACTGCAAGGGCTGGCACAGCAATAGTGGGAGATTCTTTGCTTTAAACTACAGGTGTGAAAATTTCTAAGATTTTCAGAGGCCAAGGTCCAAATATCCTACTGGGCTCCACAGTGGCCCTTAGTAGTTGGAAGTAATTGATTCACGCACATTTTCACAAAGAAGGAATAGCATTTTACTGATCTAAACAGGTTTTATAGTTTTATGCTCAAAATAGTTATCCTTTTGTCTTGAAGCTCTGAAAGTTGAAATGAGAAGATCAGTTTGGGAGACTTGGACAAGCTTGGAAAATGGGTCCATGCGAACCTAATGAGGATCAACAAGTCCAAATTCAAGGTGCTATCCCTGGGTCAAGGCAATTCCATACATGAGAGAGAAGAACTCACTGAGAGGGGAGGACTTGAGAATTCTGTGCATAAGAACATGGACAAGAGCAACAGTGTGTGCTACAGCCCAGAAGGCCAGCTGCATCCTGGGGTGCATCAAAATTAGTGCGACCAGCAGGGCAAGGAAAGTGATGTCCCCCTCTACTCTGCTCTGATGAGTCCCCATCTGAGGCACTGCATCCAGTTTTGGGGTCCCTGGCACAGGAAGGGCATGCACCTGTTGGAGAGGAGGGCCATGAAGATGATCAGAGGGATGAACCACCTTACCTAGACAGGCTGAGAGACTTGGGATTGTTCAGCCAGGAGAAGACTCCAGGAAGACCTCATTGCAGCCTTTCAGTACTCAAAGGGGACCTTAAAAAGTTGGGGATGTGACTTTTCACAAAGGCAGATAGTGATAGAACAAGAAAGGGCAAAAGTTTTAAACTAAAAGAGCGATTTAGGGTAGATATTAGAAAGAAAATCTTTACTGTGAGGTGGCGAGGCACTGGAGGAGGTTGCCCAGAGAATCTGTCGATACTCATCCTTGGAGATGTTTAAGCCCAGACTGGATGGAGCTTTGAGCAACCTGGTTTAGTGGAAGGTGTACTTGCCCATGGTGGAGGGTTGGAACGAGATGATCTTTAAGGTTCTTTCCAACTAAACCATCCTGCAATTCTACACTGCTTAGCAATGTTCTCCTGATTGTTTTGATTAATAGGTGATAAGCTTCAGCATGATTTTGGAAGGGGGACTGCATGCTGAGGGGGTGGCACTGGAGAGCATTGTAGGGGAATGAAGCTGTCAGTGGCTCCATGGAACACTTTCCAAGCCTGCAGTGGCTGTGCGGTCTGGCCATGCAGGACCATAGTGGAAGTCATGCAGCTCACTTGGAGACAGCCAGGTACAGGACAGTGAGGTGAGGATAGTCTCTGTTAGAGCAGGGCCAAGGCATTTGAGAATTGCAATGGTTGTTTTGTAAACAGGCAAAGAGGCTTCTTGATCTCAGAGGTCTTATTTTTGAACTATCACATGCCTGGTTTTGTCAGGTACAACTTCCAAAAATTAAAAGCCAGGGTTCCACAATCATATGAATTTTACTGTCTGGGTTTTTTTGGTTTTGTTTTGGTTTTGTTTTGGTTTTGTTTTTTGTTTTTGTTTGTTTGTTTGTTGGGTTTTTTGGTGGGTTTTTGTTGTTGATGTTGTTGGGGGGGGTCTGGGTAGTAAAATATTGAAATGAATGATGAAAATGTTTAATATTCCAGTTACAGGTGCAGAGGTTCACAGAATATTCTGAGTTGGAAGGGACCCACAGGATCATCAAGTCCCACTCTGAAGTAAATGCCTGTATGGTATTGAACCCACAGTCTTGTTATCAGCACCAAGCTCTAACCAACTGTTTCAGATGGTGGGACTGCAGCTTCAAGGATTTATCTTCCCCTGCCTCATCAGTCTTCCCAATTCACAATACCTCCATCAAGTTTTGGCACTGTTTTGGCATAACAGCCCTGAGTTCAGAATCTGACAATGCCAGCAAAGAAAAGCTGTTCAAGGAGAGAAGAGAGATGTACAGAACAAGGACAGACCTCTTCCTGAAATGAGGTCAAGCTGTCATTATTGCAAACAAGTTCATCATGTTATCTACCAAGTTCCACCTTTAAGGCATAGAGATTCCCACTCCAGTTGGAAAGTTCAATACAGTTGATGGTGATCATACATTAATATCCTGCCTAGAGTTGCTTGTCAATGTCTTCTATTCATTTATCAGCCATTAGACCAGCAGAGCCTTTTAGGCTGAGAAGTTTCTCCTCGTGTTTATCTACTCAGAAGCATTCATAGACAGCAACAGAAACCTTCAGTCTTTTATTTTGGATGAGCAAGTGAGCTCTAATGGTAACCTGAGTATTCAAGTTATCCTAGAAACCCATCTCTGCTACTATGTTTTAAGATGTTTATGCCAGTAAAGTCACAATTGCTTTATGAAAAAATATATTTTTTACTATTATGTTATATCATGAGCCTAGAAATTACTGTATTATTTTATACTTAAACTATTTAATGGTTTGGACATAATTTTTAATCATTTCACGTTGCTGTACAATAATAATAATTATAAAATCTTAGCAATTTAGACACAGTCAAAACAAATCCTTTCCAGAAACTGAATTGTTTTCCACTTGGCAATATCATTTTTTTGAGAAAAGTCATCTCAGGTTAATTTTGTTTTCTGTTTCCATTGAAACAAATTTTGTGGATCTAGAGTAGTAGCATGACACAAGTATGCAAGCTATTGGAAAAATACTAGAATGAAATATTTAGTAAATGCTGCAAATCTGGGTAAAGAATATTAACCTGCAGCAAGTTAATGTTCTAACCCACCTTATAAAAATACTGTGCATGCCTTCCTCAGACACAGCATGGGAATATTGATGTGTTTCACACAACCAGTTGGCCTGATGCCCTTCCAGCCCAGCTGTCCTGATAGCCAATGGGAGGTGCCCCTCTTACCTGTAGGCTCTGGAGTCCTGAGTAAGCAGTAAAGAGAAGTAAAAATCCGAAAGAAATGACCAAAACATTCTTAAGATTCCTTTCCATGTTGATTCATAGAAGACAAAAGGTCTGCCGGTGGGCAAAGCTGATCCAATTATTCCAGGGGATGATTTGAGTTGGAGAAAAACAGCTTATGCCTTGTTGGAAAAGGTCACCTTTTTCTGTGTTTGTAGAGAAGAGAGTTGCTAATTATTTGAAGAATGACCAGTGAACTTTACTTTTAAGTAATACTGAAAACTTGTTGTTACTCATTCACTTGTTACTCAGGCAATAGCCAGCAGTCCCAAGGCCACATATCATGTTTTTTTACAGAGGTATATGAGTCTCTTGCAACTCTTGCACCTATTTGAGTATTGAAGTAATATATTATATGGGTCTCCACTATGATCAGCACAGAAGAAAAAAATTGCAAGCTGTGAAATCACTTTCCGTCATAAAGATACACAAGTCCATAAGGGACAAAGATTAAACTCTGTACTGAAATCTATACCAAGCCTCTTGCTTAACTATGGTTACAAAAGCATGCTAGGAAATGAGATTGTGCTACAGCTCTGTCTGCATACACCACTCCATAACTGGGCAGCACAGAATCCCAAAGCTGCTGGCTGCTTGGCAAGTGGGACACCCTTCATTCATGGGGAGCCCTGGGGCTTTGGTCCCTCAAGTTTACCAAATTGTACTCACTAAAATTATTTTTCCCCATCTTTCTCATCAATGCAGAAGCCAAGAAAAAAAAAAAAAAGGATTGAGCAGATAACTGAAAAAGCAAGTTTCCCTCCCCTTCTCTGGCCCTAAGACAGCCAGGGTGAATGGACCCTTCCTGCATCTGTGCCAGAGGAGGGATTTGAACCAGGGGGCAAAGGGGAATCCAAAAGCCTCCATGCTATGATGTAAACAGGACTGTAGGGTGTCCACAGTGTCCATTGGGAATGCGCAGCTACGACTTAGTTTAAATCCCACTAGATGGCACAATTTTGCTTCCCACAGGGACATTCATGGAAAAGGGGAGGAAGATTTGATACATAAATTCATTTAAAACATTTAAGAGGTCACAGCCAGTTTCTGTTTTGGAGAACATTGCAGTATGTGCCTTTTCATTTTCTTCTTTTGCCTTGTAATCTTCTCAAATGAAATAATGCAGAAAAACATAATCTTTTAATTCTCTATTGTTACTGGTACTTCTGTGTTGCAAGTCTAGATAATGGCTTTTTATTTTACAGGCTACTATGCTCAGCATGCAAACTCCTTGAGTGAGATCATAATGCTGGTCTTGTTTGGCAGTGTTTTTAAGCCTCTACAAGGAGCTTAGACCAAACTGGTGGTACTTTCCCCTATCTTTTCAGGTTTATGGATCCTTGCAATTTTCACATGACAGTATTTCAGAAGAAATTTACACCTGGTGATAACATGCTTGTTTCTGTTTTGGACCCCTTAGAAAAGGTCTGCAAAATTCTAGGAATTTGCATCACAGGTCTAAAACAACTGAAAAAAATATTGAGAATATGTAAGAATAATGCTTTTCCCAAACCAAAGCACAATTATCACCCACTCCAGCACAGGTAAGAACCAGGAATAGTGCAAAGAACACTATTTATTTTAGTTCTCTGTCTTGACATTAGCAGTAATAACAAGAAAGCTTAAAAAAATCATCATTAACTGGACACTATTTTTAAAATGCAGTGTTGGACAGGTTCAGCACTTCAGCTCTGGAGGAATTCCTGACTCCTAATTCATCACATCTTCTCAGCAGCATGGTATTGGAGAGCATATGGGGGATAGTGGTAATTTGTGTGTGTAGGGCTTTTTTTCTCTTCTTTCCACTGATCAAAGACATTCAGCCTGTTCCACATCCCTTGCCCAGAGCTTTGGGTTATCCAACTGACTGGTCCCAAGCCCCTCCTTAGGAATGTGCAGAGCCTTTACCAAAGGGATCTGATAAGGCCAAGGATCTTTTCCTTTGGTACCAGGCAGCTAAAGCTCCAGCAGGCCTGCTGTGTATCACCCTTGACACTTCTTTCATTCTTTCTGCCAGCCCAAGATTAAGTGAGCCTCAGGAGCTGTGTGCTGTATTTGGGGATTAGGTTTCACACAGAAGACTGCAACCACCAAATGAAAACTACTTGCAGAGCACAATCATAAACATGGGAGATGGAAGAGGCTGGTTAAATCCATTACTCCCTCCCACAGGTGATTACATTTGTTTTCACCTGTTTATTTTCTCAGGGTAAATGAGGGCAGTCTTTGCACAAAAGATTATAGCACCAGAGGCTAATCTTTGGAGGCTTTTGTGCTTCATAATTATCATTTCCCTATTTACTCTAGTCAAATTTAATGTTTAGGCAGTAATTTTAACTATAATAGAAGAAAGCCCCACAACACCCAGGGCACTCATCATAGGATTGTCTGTCTTAGGAGGTTTTTAATTGGTTATTTCCTTGGTGGTACTCAGTTCCCCTTGAATCTATCTGTAGAAAGGCTGACTGCCTACCCATTTCCTCTCTTGCTGTGAAAGCCTGGCCATGTTATTTCCTTATTCTCCTCCTCCTTCACCTGTGTTTGTGCCTTGCTCATTTTGGATTTGAAGCAGGAGTGAATAAATGTGATGTGTCTTGCAAAGCCCAGCCATTTCTGACAGGGCCATTGGAAAATATTTGCTGTTACATCTTGAGAGAAGGTCACAATCTGAAAGTGAGGCAACAGTGAACTGATCAAGCAAGAAAAGCTGATTTCTTCTAGGAAGGAAGTTGTAAGGGAGTTGCCAATCAGTGAACACATTTTGCCCACAAAGTTGGAGCAAAATATTTTTTGCAGTGTCAAAGGCTCAAGAACTGTAAGTATCTCCTCTTTGTCTATGAATGTTTGAAGACCTCACCCTTCTTCAGTATTTCAGGTCTCATTTACAAATTTCCTGTATTTCCCATGTCCCCTTTAAAATACTTCTCTCCTTCCATGCAAAGCATCCACAGATGCTGTCCTTTCATGTGTTCTCCCAGGATTCCCTCTGCATGCATAGCTGTATGGACATGAGGATGCCACTTCTGTCTGAACCCTATCTGCTGTTGTCCTCTGTCTTTCTCTGGAGGAACCAAACTGTCTGTCTCAATCTTCCTTTATGTTCTTGATGTATGCCATCCTTCCTTCATTCCTGCTTTGTGGTTCCCTAGCTTTGTGGTTCCACCACTCTGCCTCTGTCTCTCTGCTTCTCCCTTTTTACCTCATCTCCTGAGTGCTAGAAAACTTTTTGATTCTTTAGGGAGTGGCCTGAACACCGCAGGTGGTGTTCTCGTTTCACAGGCTATTACACCACTCTTAGCCTCACTGGCTGTAAGGTGTCTCCTCCTTTAACACCACTCTTAATTTCTCATGAGGTCCATTTCCTCCAGCTCCACTTCCCATTCCTTAGGGAAGAGGAGAAGAGTAGATTTTGTCTTCTGGGTTGGGAGACAGGTTATGGTAGAAAGGGAAAAAGATCCTACAGGGTACAGGCTTGAATGAATTTGACTTTTTTCCTTATGGCCATGTAGGGGACTTTCCCTACAGGACACTTGTCTGCTCTGTTGAATGCAGCTCTCCAAATAACCAATATTGTCTTTATAATAAAGACAGAACTCAGTTTAGGATAGGATAATGTAATGCCAATCTGGACTCAGTCATAAATGCTGATGACCTGGAGAAACAGTTCCTTTAATTGTTGGACTTCTTACAGCTGTTACTCACCTCCTGAGACTTGCATCACTTTTGGCTGGAGTTTTCAATGCATGAACGTGTGTATGAGAGTGTTCACAGACGCTAGTTCTAGCCTAGGGGGAAGTTCAAGCATTTTGAAGGTAAGACACTGCCCCGTAGAGCAGCCAGCCCCTCCACAGAGCACAGCCAAAGAGGTCAGACTCTCCGGGCTGGCAGCTGCCTGTGAACAAGCCCCTGCTTCTCCACCAGAGTGGTCTTCCATTCATTCTCTTGTAATAAAATGCTTTCATCCGGTTCAAACTCGGCCCAGTAACATTCTACTTCCTTAAAAGTGTTGCCTGAGCACTGGCATAGTGTTTGGGCCTTGTCCTGCATTTTAGGTGTTTCAGAATAGCTACAGTAATCCCATTTCTAAGCCTAAACCAGCGTCTGTGACTCAGTTGGTTAGACTTAACACCTTGCTAAGATAAACATGCCACTGTTGTGATCTGTGCTTTTATAATGAAAGGCTAGGGAGGCAGATCCTGCATATGAACAATGGACTTTTGTAGGGCAGTGGCTCTGAAGTCTTTAGAGCTATTTACTGGAAACTGCCTGACTGCATACTGGTTGCTCGCATGAGCTTGCATGAGAAATTCCTTGTACACACCCATGGTGTGGACTGGGAGGATGGGACTCCATCAGTAACCCAAATTACATACATTTTTACCTTTTGTCTTTTGTTCAGAGGTGGCAGCTCATGTTATTAATGACCTCTATCAAGCTAGCTCAAAAAAAAGTCTATAGTGATCAGTCAGGATGCCCCTATTGTTAAAAGGCTATCACTAAGATTTGGGATGAATTTATCAGCCAGTGGAAATAAAAAGAAGATAAAAGAATGGGTCTTGATCCCAGAGAGCAGGGCTGCTTAAAGGCATGTTGGTGTATATGTCCTGGAATGTGGAGATTCTCACCCCTGATGCCTCCCACCTTTCTTTTGTCTATTTGTTACACCCATGAGTGGACACTGACATAAGGGGAATATTTACAGGCTATTTACCACCCACTTGCCATCAGTGTAAATATCTATATAAAAATATCTAAGATAAAAGGAAAAGTAGCCTGAGTCTCTTCTGAAAACCTTGCTTTTGCTTTCTTTACTTGAATATACCACAACTACCTGTAAGAGCAAGAGCTACCAAGCAGGAGTGCAAGCAGGGGCTCTTGAGAGGGAAATATTAGAAAAAGCAGCTGCACAGGCTGGTATGAGAGAAAGGTGTTGTTATGGACAAAATAGAGTATCTATTATTAAGAACCGGCAAACCTGCAGAAAATTTTGATGCTAAAATTTCTTCCCCATTCCAGTAGATATGATCAGG